ATTAGTAAAGATACTTTTCAGTTTACACTTTTACTTAGAGTATTCAATAACTATAGATAGTTTACAGTGTACACTTTCCTTATAGAGTATACAATTAATAAAAATAGTTTTCAGTGTACACTTTTACTTAGAGTATACAATAACTATATAGTTTACAGTGTACACTTTCCTTAGAGTATACAATTAATTAAGATACTTTTCAGCTTACACTTTTACTTAGAGTATTCAATAACTATAGATAGATAGCCTATTAGGTATTCATTGGTATCTGCAGTCCTACTTTTTAAAGAAAAAGCCGATTTATCGTTAATAATTTCAGTGGAAAGGTATGATACCTTTGTATAGACACTATTTAATTTTTTTTTTTATTCAGCAACAATATCCCAATCAAATGTAAAATTATTATATTTCAATGACATCATGTGTCAGACAGAATATAATAAAATAAACTTTTGATTTTATAGTGTTTCGTGTTAAAACATTATTTAACAAATTAACATAATTATACAAAGACGACTTTCTCTCTCAGACAACCCGGTTCCTAGATTCCATCTTTTCAATAAATCACGTGGATTCCTGGAGAAGTAGGGAAAACGAATCAAATCGTCAAATGTTAAAAAGAAGTTATATTTTGAAAAAAAAAAACAATTTTAAAATAATTTTGAAAAAAAATAAAGAAATTTACAAATGATTATATGATACTACAATTTAATTTAATTATTGAAAATTTTTTAAAATCCTATGACAATAAGCATCAAATAGTGTAAATGCAAAGGTATCATATCTTTGCGCTGGAATTATGAATGAAAAATCGACTTTTTCTCATGCCAAAGTTGTCTATGATAAGTATACTGATAGCAATGGCTTATAGGCTATTTAGTTTACCTTCAAATTACCCAAATAAGTTAACGGTCCCTTTAAAAAATCACAATCTTGTGGTATAGTCATTTCAAATCATATGTTTATTTTCAATCTATATGTTTTAACTATTAAATCAATAACAGCTATGCATCAAATACATGTTACAAATATTGCATAAATATCGTCTTCTTTTTCCAGAGTGGATTATGGGTTCGGTACTGTTGTACCGCAATCCACAGTATATACACCAAGGTCCATGATGTTTACAACTATTCTAAGCCAGTTCCATGGTTTCCTTGTCTAAACAGCCTCTTCTCTTTTCTCTCACCAGCCTCTGAATACTGTAGATAGAAAGATAGAATGCTTTTTCTTAACTCATGAGTTCTCTTGCTATACACAGAGATATGCATACAGTGAGACCCAAACAATTGTGGAATAGGAATACGACATTTATGCAATCTTATTTGTATTTTATGTTGTAAAGTAGGCACATACATTTACCATACTTTTACATTATAGTTATATTGGTGTCACCGTATTAAATTTTTTAAGTTGTTTGACTTTTAAGAGGCTAAGAGGTTCCAAAAGAATGATCAAACAAAAAACGGAATATGACAACTATTGGTTTAATTGTTAGATTTTTGTTAGATTGTTAGATTTTTACTTAATTTTGCTCATAGTACACTTATAGAGCCTACATTTTTGTAAAAATCAGATTAAAATAAAGAAAGCATGAACTTTTAAATACGAACTAAAAAACCTTAACCTAGGTTTTGATATTGACTTTATTTGTCCTTGTGTTTAATAAACATACTTTCCACAGATAAATGTATAATAAACAGGGGTATATTATACTGCGCCGTAGTGGTGTTAATCGTTATGAAATGGATAACTGCAATATTTTTAACCTAATAAAATTGAAAAGCAGTTTAAGAACGATTCTTATGGCACGTTAGTTTTTTGAATCGTTTAAATTTTCTGTCAGGGTCTAAATCTGGGATAATTAAAAAGTTTGCCAAATTTGGACCCTAAAAGAAAACATAGGCAATGCACGATTTAAAAACGAACCAACGGAATGCACATCACTAGCTCTTTGGAAAATAATTATCATAACTCTGAAGAAAATATATGGTTCTGACAGAAAGGATATATTCTAAATGCAGCAAACATGTTGACAACATGAAACTAGCTTTTAAAAAAGATTATTATATTTCAAATTTTAAAGGAAATGGAATCCCTCCCAACCCCCCTTTCCCCCAGGGGCGGTCAGCCAAAATGATTTTATTCCATAAACCTTTTATTTATGTATAATAAAGATTGGCCCTTAAGAATTTTTTTTTAGAGAGAAGTCTCTAAGCTGTTTAAATGTTATGTTTTATTTAAGAATTTCGACCGAAAAACTATTTCATTTAAAACTCTTTGAAAAGGATTTTTCTACTCGATACTCTGACTAAATTAAGGTTTTGACGTACTGACGATGCCCATAAATATGGCTGTAAGAATCTATTTATATATTTGGATTATCCCGAAACCGCTGTCCTTTCTTGTACTTTTGCTATAAAATATATGTTTTTCTTTCGAAATACAAGCTCGCTGTAATAAAGACGACATCTAAATATATTGCGGTTTTATTCGTGTTGTCCATTCTTACCATGAAACACAAGACAAATGCATTTTAAGGGGAGTATTGTAACAAAAACCAGTCACCCCTCACCCCCTATAATACCCCACCGTGCCCCTCCCCTCTATGAACAGTAATGATTAAATTAGCCAAAGATAGTTTAACTACGTTTTAGTATTAATTAAATTTAATCTTTGTTCATATTTCACAGAGCTTTTTTGTAGCAATAATAAAATGTTATCTTGGCAAATCAAACGTTTTAATCTTATATTAATAAGTTATGCTTAACCACTGTTTAAATTTTCCGGAGAGTAATACGACTTATGAATATGTACAGTCAAAAATCTCGTTCTTTTAAGGAATCCCTATATTTAGGCCTAGTCACGACACGCCCACCTAATCATAAACTAAGATTTTATCAAGGATTATCTGGTCAAAACAGTAGTGCGGTCATCGACCCATACAAGGTGTAACAAAAAATACAAAAACATTACGATTTCTAGTATGCAATTTAAGAAAACATTATGGTTACCGTCATTGAAATTTCATTTGACCCTCCACTTGAAGAAGGTAAGCCTGGTATACAAAAGTATCCTTTAAACAGTTATTTACTCAACAATGTGAAGGATAATCGTCGTTTTTCTAGCTTGAAAACTGTAAAAACAGTACACGGGTTCATCGACCCATGCTAAGCGTATTTGTATACAGAGTCCGAAATTTAAAAGAGTACCGTCGAACGAAACTAACGAGTGTCCTTTTTGGGGTCTTAACATTTTGTAGATTTTGATTAAAGAGATTCGACCAAAATGGAGAATAGTAAGAAACTAAATAATATAGTATTTCATGACAAAAATATTGATATCCACAAAACTGACTAACCCCATTCGTGAAACCCGGGTTTTAAAACTGGTTTTCATAACGATACCCTGTCTTAAGTTTTGGGCTCAGGGTGTAAGAGAAAAACAGCCGCGCATTGGCCTATCGGCGATTTATCCAGGGCTTATTATTATAACAGGGTTTATCATATACATTACCAAGAAGACAATTGTTTCATGTAACGGCTGCGCTGTACTTATAGATAATTACTTAAAGGGTCAAACAGATTGGTCATTGTGAACAAGACAGAAGGAGAAGGTCAAATTAAGCTATTTTTCTGGTATGACTTTGTAATCCTGTAGTTTTTTTTCACAAGTATAAGAAAAGCTAATTTATCTGGAACATATTAAAAATTCAAACATTTCAATGAGAGGAGTTACGATTTTAACATTAAAGATTTTAAACTTACGTGCAATTTATTTTAGTTTGTCGAGTAGCGTAGCATATCCGAGCAGAGCTGAAAACTTTAGAATGGGATATCCTTAATCCCGATCGGTTAATTAATCTGAAGATTAATAACAAGTGGAGAACAAGCATTTTTTAATCTCGAGATTAAGAAAAAGAGTGAATCAAGCCTTAATCCCGATATCCACCATTCACAAGTTCCCATCTCTGGGAACTTTAGAATGGTGGATATCAGGATTAATGCTTATTCCTCTCTTTTTGCTAATCTCGAGATTATGTTGGTCTCGAGATTAAATATTTAGATCAACAAATTGGATTCTCGGAACTCCAGATTTGTTCATTTTTCTTGACTTAAAGGGCCTTCACTTAATTTCTCACCCATTTATTTATTAATACATTAGTTAAAATTGGTTAATAAAGAATCTCAAACATATTATTATATATTTTTCTTCGCCGATTAATTTACAAAACGGCCGACAACAAATTCTTTATTTGTTAGAAATTGCGGATTTCTCTCATAGAATAGAATATATTTTTAAGGCTGTCATTGGTCAATACAATTTACGAACTATATTCCTGCACTCTCATTGGAGAAAAAAATGTACGGATATCCAAAGATAGAGAAAAAGAGTGGTTTAAGGACTAAAATGAAAAGTTTCCACAGTGGATATTCGGATTAAGTAGTCGGGATTATAGGTTATCCATTCAAAAGTTCCCAACTCCGATATCAACGGTACTTTTAAATGTGTTGGCGGATTAAGTTTTAATTAGATATCCATGTTTATAATTTTGATACCTGATAAAAATTCAAATGTAGGCTAAATCATTTTGGAAAAATTTGCTGATTAAAAAGAAAAAAAGGTTTTCTCTTTAAGTATTTTCCCCCAAGCCTCCTCTTAATTGTTGTAATTACGTAATATGTTCTCAGAAAAATTCAATTGCAGAAAAAAAAACTTTATTTTGTTCTGTAAAGCGATTTCACTGCATATGGTAGGTGTCTAAAGAAAAATAAGAATGAGGAAACATACTTAAGATTTAAAGAGATAATTTCAAGTTTTTTTTATGAAAATCCTCTTTTACTGTGTTGTGTTGTGTATTTATTTCTATTTACTTGGATTTTTTGACACCCTGTCACTTCAAACTGATCTGACAGCTTTCTAAAAAATGCAGGATTTCTGGCAGATAGATAGATAGAGCGATGGTAGGCGGCAGAAAGGTACAGAGTTAGATAGTAAGGCAGATAGATAGATATATAGAAATCTAGACGGCCCGAATTGGTTTCAGCTTGGTTGTGGTACAGTTATCATACAGTTGTCAACATGGTAAGACGTGTAAAGATTCACCTTTCACGATTTCACTTTGTTTACATTAGAATATTGTATATTAATTTGGTGTGGGGGATGAGTCAAAACTAAAGTAGATTGCATAGCTTTTCTTATTGGAGAGATATTGAAAAGAACGAAAATGTTTAAAATTTCTAAAATATAACGAAAAAAATCTTTTACCATGCTTGTGCGTAAAATCAAGACTAGAGGAGCAACAAGGTCACAAAGTCGCACTTATAATGTCGCATAAATTCTACCTTTTTCTTTTGTCTAGTTCACAGACCGGAGTGCAGAAGATATAATATCTTTTATCTTTAGCTGAATCTATAATCATGAATAAAGATTCACTACAAAAATATATTTTTCTTCCCGAGCCATATTTTATTCAAAACCCTTTATGTGTGTTTTTATCGAATATTCTGAAAAAGAAAAGGCTGGGTTTCGTAAAAAATAAATATGGGATTAATCCATCAAATTTTGTGTATTTTTACTTCTTCAAATGTTTTTCTTTCTCTCTTGTTTTTACAACCGTTTCTTTTGTAGAGGCCGGTCCTATTGTGTCTTCAAGCAAAGATAAAAAAATCTTTTCTTAAATAGACTGTCGACGTTATTCCAAGAAACCCTAATCAAAGAGTTACATGTAAGATTCACAACGGTACCTTCCAAATCTTTGTAAAAGCGGAAATGAAAGAGATTCGATAGTCTTGTTTTTTTTTCTAAGAAGTTATGCTCATTCTGTGGTGATACAAAAAGCCACTGCGTAGTGACGAGTAAAGAAATTGACAGAATTAATAGGTTTTCAGGATAGAACACAACGAAATTTTCTTCTTTGTTACTCCGATAAAAATGTATGTATACTGTTATTTTCCTTTACAGTCCCTTCAAGCAAGATGAACTTCACTTGCACTTATATTTAGTTCTCGTGTTTTCAATAAAAGTGATATACTGCCGATGTACTGCAGTACTGCAGTTTCAGCGGGAGGAAAGTAAACAAACGTAGACCTTGTCAAGCTTATTTTGGTTTACATTTCTCTGTAAAAATTCAGTACATTCCTCCACCCCTCCCTTTTCCCCCTGAGCCGCCTCTTTTAATATGTGAATTATGATGAACGACTAAACATTTAACAAAAAACTGAAGAAAAGTAAATATTAAGTTTTATTGCTTTTCAGTCTTATCTAGAATTTTAGGCTTAATACAATCAAGATAAAAAAGTAATATAGTTGAACTATTAATAAGTAATTGAACTAAGTAATAGAGTTGAACTATTGAGAAGTAGTTTAACTTATTAATATAGCTGAACTATTAAAACGTTATTGAACTGAGTAATAGAGATTATCTATTAAGAAAAAGAAGCTGAGCTCCCATAGCACTCTGAGTACGTCTTTGCTTCCCTAAACTTAACATTCTTATAAATTATATGTTGCAAAGAAATTTTTTTTTACTTTTTAAAGTATTTATATGTAAAAACAATTTCCACAAACTCTGATTCTCTAATTTCTACCCAGGCCAATGTCGTACATGACATTTCAAACTATCTATATATTCTGTTGGATCAAATAGTCTAATATTTAAATATCAAAGGTTTACACAAAAGGTTACAAATATAGAGATTAAAAACTTTAAGTTTGTGGCAAAGACTCAATTTCTTTAAACAAAAGAAAATGAAAAAGTGTAATAAATGGTTTTAACTCAAGAATATAGTTTTTTGTTGATTTTTGTTCTCTAGCTTAAATTTAAAAAACTTTATATTTACAGTAGCACAATTTTTTTTAATTTCCTTTTTGAGAAATGTTTTTTTGAGATAATAGAGATAATACAAAATTCAAAACTTGAAAACATCGATAATAATAAATTCCAAATTCAAAAAAGTTTATTTTATTTATGTGCTGTTTTTATAAAAGAACATATGTTTATAAAAATGATTTTTTTTTAGAAAGTTCTGATTTTCCTCACTTTGATCTGCGCTGCAGCTTCTCGCTCCTCTCTTCTCAAGACTGTTGTGTAAGGATTTAAAATTAGTTTATTCATTAAATTTAATTTCAAATTATTTTATTGGATTAAAACCAAAAAAAATTACATGGAGTTTGAAATTAATACGTTTTTTGGTTTAAAATAAACACAAGTTAAAGTTGTTAAACCAACCAGTTTATCGGATTTAAAACCAATCTATGTATAAGTTTGAAAATAACAAAATTAAATCTTTAAGATCTACTAATTTTTTTGTCGAAAATTGATCCTTATTGAATGTTGAAAGTCAACCTAATTCTAATTTAAATCAACCCTTCAAATGGATGATTATCAACCAGTTTACTGGTTGGTAATATTAAAATGAACCGATTTGTTGGTAGAAAATCAATCCTAATATTGAACAAAAATCAACTAATAGTTCACGGGTTCAAAATTAATGTTTGTTTAATTATTTGAGAAAACTTTGGGAAAAAAAGTTTTTTTTAAGAAGGGGTCGCTTTTTGATCACTTCATACTCCTGTTTTGAAAGTACACATATTGCGCAATTCATAAGAACTCTAAGATGTCACTTTTTTTGGCACAAAACATTTAACAGCATTATGTTAAATGTTTTTAAATAATCTTTACAAAGTTTTAAGAGTTTAAATTTTTTTATTTTAGGAACATTCTTGTTGAAGAAAGAAATTTGTTTGGTGAATTTTTTCACAATATTTCCCCAATGCCCTAATTTAATTATTTCCCTATTCTCCTAAAATTCAGAAACCAATACAGTACAAATGAAGCATTTAAAAAAATAAAAACTTTCATCCAGTTAACGACATGTTATAATTTGTAAATAAACATTCCTTGCTAAACTTAGATTTTAATTGATCAAATCGTAAAAGTAAAAATAATATTTTCAACAAAATCATTTTTGAAATTCCACTTTCTATTTCTTCACCTGACTCCCACTAACCATCCTTCCTTGCTTCCTCATTATTATCTTAAAAGGTCAGATTTTTAGCGCTTTTCTTATTTTCCCATATTTAAAGTTTTTAAGAAATTGCTAATCATTTTTCCAAAGCGAGTAAATAATATTAAAAAATGTATTTTTTTCTTACAGGAAAAGATCACCTATTCGTTCTCCTCTAGCTACTGAGTCCATAAACCAAGTGACAGCTCCCTTATCCTTCCCTTTCTATACCTACCCTTACACCAGCTCTATATACAAACCCTACCCTCAGTACCCGATCAACTATCCATACTTCACCCACCAGGTCTTTATTTTTACCACTTGTACACTTGTAATAACATATTCTAAGAAATATTTACTATTTTAAAAGGCAATTATTTTATTTAGTTTTCATTCAAAATAACAAAATCATCTAAAATGATATTTTAGAATGAATTTCTTCACTTAAAATGTTGGTTTCCAAGCTACTATGTAAAACTTTTTGTCTCTTAACCCCATCACATACAGAGTGCCCATCTTAGGATCACCAAGTTTTTTTAATTACATCCCCCCCTCTTGAACCTGCAAAACAATTTTTTTAAATACAGCGAGACCCAAAATAACTGTGGAATAGGAAGTCGTCATTGAATTAATCTTATCATGTGTATTTGTTTAAAAACCAAAAAGTTTTACCTGAAGCTTGAAAGAAATTGAGTTTTTGCCAAAACTCTGATTTTTTAATCCCATATCTTTGCAAACCCGATGTCGTGGATCTTCGATATTTCAAACTATACAGTTTAATAGATTAAATAGTCCAAGTTTGAAATATTAAAGGAATACAGTCAACACATTAAGGTTGCAAAGATATAGGGATTCGAATATTGGAATTTGTGGCAAAAACTCAGTTCCTTTACTTAAGTTATAATGGGTCTGTGGACGCTACACAATTGATGTGTTTCATGCTCATTGGCATATTTAGTCAAAAAAGCCAGCTTCATGTTTTAAAGGTTTTATGGGTCTCAAACTTTGTATATTACGTACAGTGAGAACCAGAACCAGAAAGGACTTTAAATTGTCCTGAGAACATTAGACACAGTAATTGTGCAGTGTACACAGACCAATTTAACTTAATATGTGATTTAATAACTTTTTGCTATGTAAATTGTATCAACATCAAATTTACTTTAGAATTGCTATAATGTCGTCTTCCTATTCCAGTTTTCTGGTTCTCGCAGTATATTTATATATTTTTCTTTGCAGGGCCTGGTGTACCAACCTTCTCTGACCCTCACACATCCTGTTGTACGACTAGGCAGCCAGTACCCACGTGCTTTACAATCCGTTTCTGCTGTACAACCCATCTCTGTTGTACAACCCATCTCTGTTGTACAACCCATAACTGGTGTACAACAGACTGTTGCACAGCCTGCATTGGAACAAGTTGTAACAAGTCCTGAGCGTACAGTTACCAAGGTATTATTGATAATATAAGGAAAGAATTTTTATTTTTAAATTTTCTTATTCAATTTTTTATGCAATAATCAGGAGGAATCATATCATAGAGAAAGGAAACGAAGAGGTAACGTTTACCTCAGATGTACACATTACACAACCAACCTCCCTATTAATTATTTTGTAGAGTGGTTGGTCGTGTACATCACGATATGTTTACGTATCTAACACTGTACACTTGTATATAGAGTGATCGTATTTGTATACGATAATTGAATATTTGTAAAGATAATTAGATAGAAATATAATATGGATTGTATACTGCAGTACATTTCAGTTCAGTTGTTTGTTTTTTGTTAATAAAAGTATGACCAAATATTGCATCGTGAAAAAATGCACAAACAATTCTTCTTGTAAAAATGTGAGTTTTTTCAAAATATCAGAACACTGTGCATGGCTAGACCTATTCAGGTTGGGAATTTGGGAGACTCCACTATATATCCCTCAAGTTGTATTTGCTCAAACTATTTAAAGAAGGAGATGTTAGTCAGGGGAAAAGACCAAGTTTGAAGAAAAATGCAATGTAAGGGGGGAGGAAGAAGCCAATGCCCTGTTCCGCAATTTTCTTTTATCCAGAATACATTTCTTTTTTTAATTTCATATCATATGTATTGACTAATTGAATATCCTGTTGGCAAGGTTAGTTTTTTTCATGGCTGAGTACTTAATACACACTTTTCTTGCCCCCTCCCCCCTAGAAAATTTTCTCTTTATATAAAGAGCAAAAATCTAAAAGAATATTAATTCCATAAATGCTCCCTAGAATTACGATCACTCTATATACAAGTGTACAGTGTTAGTTACGTAAACATATCGTGAAACACACATCCGACCAGCCTATTGATTAATTAATAGGGATGCAAACATCCGACCACACCATTGATTAATTAATAGGGATGCAAACATCCGACCAGCCTATTGATTAATTAATAGGGATGCAAACATCCGACCACCCCATTGATTAATTAATAGGGATGCACACATCCGACCAGCCTATTGATTAATTAATAGGGATGCACACATCCGACCACCCCATTGATTAATTAATAGGGAGGCACACATCCGACCACCCCATTGATTAATTAATAGGGAGGTCGATTGTGTACATCTAAAGTAAGCTATACCTCTTCGTATCCTTTCTCTATGGTCATGGATCATATGCTGTCACCCTGTCGCCTAGTTAGCTGGATTGCACAGTGTACGCTTACAACGGTTTCCAAATTTATGACATGAGGAGTTTGTCTAACCAACTGTGATATAAAGTAATCAAACACGCTCTTAGTGTAGATAACGGCCATATATTATATTAAAGGATGGACATTATCACTCTATACACTATAACGTCGTTGGCAATAATCCATGGTTTTGGAATCGGTACCATCCTAGAATAAAACAATGCAATTTTTTATATTTTGTGCCTTTTTTATCTAAAACTGAGATAAACGAGATGTCTTTTTATAACAAAGTTTATAATATACTACTGTCAATATACTACTTTCAAAGTTATTAAAAAACTTTTCAGTTCTCCATTATCAAAATTAAATACAACTTAACTAATTTTTATTAATTTTGTGACATGTTCCAAAGTTATTCTGAGATGATTACATTATTGTTTTTCTGTGATATAGAAAATGTGATGCAATAAAAAAATGTTAGTTATTGTTTCTGATACTATCTTACCTTATCTCTGAGTCATTCTGTCGGGTCTCTATTCACATCTTCTTCACCTGAACTCCCAACCTGTACTTTATTTTGGCTAAAGAATAAGGGAGATTTCTCCTCTACTAAGACCTGTACGGTCCTCCCATGTCCTCTTAAGGAGCTGTAATCCTGCTCCTTCCGGTCGACCAGCCTGCCTCTACCTAGCTGACCTGAACTGGTCTAGCTGAGCTAGTAGGTGGTCGACCTAGTTGACCTGCCAGCCCTGCAAACGGAAGCTTGGGTGGGTTGGTCAACCCTGCTGACCGGCTCTAAGCTGTATGCTAAGCAATAAACTCAACCCTGCTGACCAGCCTGTTGTTGCCAGCCGGTCAACCTGGTCCCCCGGGCCACTGTCCCAGGGCCGGTGAACCCTGTTCACCGGCCCTGGGTGAAGCTACCTGGAGGACCCAAAGTGAAGAGAGGGTAGTTTCCCCTCTTCTGAAAGAGATCAATGCAAAGGGGAGGAGGGTGGGGGCCGAAAATTTATTCTGAGTAAATCTGTGCTCTTTATGCCGGCAACAAGCTATTGAAAATGGCTGCCAAGAGCCGACACTAGCGCCTTCTGAGCCCCTAGCGGTGGTTGGTTGAATTTGCAGGGCGCCAAATTCAAATATCTCAGAGATAAAGTTCATATTATCAACTCTCTAAAATTACTTCAAGAGATTGAATATTTTCATCAGGACATTTTGTTTTACCCTGCTCAAATATCTTTTGGCTTTTCGTATAATTCTGAATGGAATTCAAATTGTTAGATTTACATATTTTTTATAAGTTCTGTGTAACCAAGCGAACAAAAGATAAAATGTCACATTTATAATCTTTAATCAATACGTGGGTTTTGATATGCTGAATAGGGGCTAGCCGATTTTAAAAATAATTATACACAAGTTAAATTCGGTCAGTTTTGTGTCTATTTTAAAATTCTGATTTTAGTTTGGAAATTCATCCCGGTTCCAATATGGTTAGCATTCTTAATCAAGGAAAAGAACTGTTCTGTTCTAAAGGTAGTAAGTTCATTTAAAACTGAAGATGTACTGTCAAATGACCCTAGTAGTACCTTAGAACTGAACCGTTCCTTCCTTAATTAAGAATGTTAACTACCATGCTTTATGCAGCATATCGTGTACTTTATGTAAACATACGCTGAAATTCCTTTCATAGAAATAAATCAGAAATAAACTGCCTTTTTAATTCAGAAGATACTTATGAGGAAGTCAGGTTTTGGCTGGCGGAAATACAGTGTCTTAAAAAAATATTGTTTCAGGGTGATGAAGAGGCGGCAGCCTTAGCACTTTAATCATCAATCAATCAATCAAAATCAAGAAATCTTTCCACTTTAAAGCAGCTATATTACATATTGAAGAATGAATCCCTGTGATTTTGTGATTTATTAGATCTATTTATTAAACCATAACAGTTCAGTTTGTTTCATTTCTTTTTATTTTATGGAGATATACGGAGTTTTTAAAAAAAAATAATAATAAGATCAGTATTGCTTGTAAAATATTGGACCCTTTCAATCTAGACATAACGAAAAGTCCAAATTTAAGGTAACTTATTAGTACGACATTGTAACCCCGTGGCTCCAGTTTTAATTTTACGTCAATGGTCGATCAAATTATGAAAACACAAAAAAAATGTTGTCTTTTTATCATCTTTTTTAAACCAGGAGCTAAATGATTGAAAACAATGAGAATTTAAGCAAACTCTAAATTTACTGTAATTTGACTCAGGGCAATTACATACAAAGTGAATAAACACTGAAGACGACATTTACGTGGGTCTTCAGTCTATTTTTTCTAGTCTTTACTTTCCAAACGAAATCTTTTCATGCAATTATTTCCAAACCAAATAAAACCTTATGGCCCAACCTGTCGTCGTTACCTTAGTCTGTTCCGCTTTAGTATTTATTCACTTTGAATTACATAGCCTTAGATTAGATCTATAAAGCAAAAGATTTTATAGAAAATTCAAACTTTACGCATAATCCACATTACCCATCTATGGAAAGATTTATTTCATGACAGAAGACGACAATCTTATATTTATTATAAACTTGTTCCAATAAACATCAAAATTCGAGGTAGAGATCGTCATGGTAAATAATCCGAGGGCAATAGTACCCAGGTACATTTGAATTTCCGAGCCGGGTCAACCTTTCCGGTCCCAGTTTGTACTGTAATTAGCTCTAGGGACAGGACTAGCTGGTGCAACAAGGTTGACGCGATCAGACTTTCTGGCTTCATAGAGGTTAATTTTACTTTTACTAAAGGGGCAGAGGTGCGTGTAATGTCTAGATAAAGATTAGTAAGAAGTGTAAACTCCGGCTTTCAAGTACCAATTTTTATGCAGCTAGATCAAGCTGTACAGTAAACATCAAGACTCTTGAAGTCATTTTTGGACTATAATCACCAAAAAATATCTAGTAGGTTAATAATATAATTAACTTTGAACATAGGAAGACGACTTTTGTACTCAAGTCATGATTTTAATTTGTTAAATAAGCGTGAATTTCCGAAATTGTCCAGACCTATTTTACTTAGAAATTAAAAGTTTTCAAGCTGCAATACATTTGCTTAAATGCAAAATTACTATTCGACCTATTCACAATCCCATTTCTGTGTCCATAGGAAAATGTGATGCTCTACAATTCCATGCTTGTCTTGAATTTTCCTAATTTTAAATTTATTTATATATTTAATCATTTTTAGAGACGCGTTTACAATAAAAAACGTAAAAATCATCTTTTATTTTCGAAAGTTATGTTTCATAAAGTAGTAATCTTTTGTTTGTTTCTCTGTATGTTTGTATTTCCAAAAACTTAATTGTTCTAATCCTTATATCTTTGAGTTTGTGACAAAAACTGAATTCCTTTTTTAATTCGTCAATTCAGAATCCACAAAATTGGCAGACTACAGTGGAAAAACGATTTGAAGGTCGTCTCTTATATATTGTTAACGAGGCACCCTGTACTGTATTCCCAATTCCAAACCTAATCCTCTCTAGAAATCAAGTTTTCGTTTGATCCATATATTACTTGCACCAGATACTCTTAAAACAGTTTGAACTGAATATAAACATGATCTGAAGAAACAGATTCAAAATAAACATTCATCCGAGATTAATCTCTATTGAATTTAATGTTTTCTTCTAAACTTACATTTTTTCTTGAGACATTAGGATCACAGCGAAATAAATATCGTTGTTGTTCTGTATGTTATCTGATAAATATAGTGGAGACCATCGTCGTTTTAGAGATTCAAAATTTTTTGAATATTGTGAATTACGTTCTTAGAGAAACCACAATTGGAAATTATTAGCTTCTTAAAAACGGGTAGATTTTGGTCCGTTTGAAGCGTTGTGAATCGAGCGTGCTCCACTTTTAAATAAAAATAAAAATTACCTCTACGTTCCTTTGAAAGTAGTAAGGAACAAACTCAGTATGTTGGTAAACTCTGTGTTTTAGACTATTCAGTTTCAGTTAGGCGATAAATATTTCAATCTATATATAAATTAAATGCAGGGTGTCCCCCGAAACATGACACTTGAAGGATGACTTTGAGAAAATTTGCTGCAAACGTCTTTCACCTATGATTCTTGAAACAACAATGACACAAATCTTCTAGTCCCTACATTTTTAAGATGTTGTAAATCATTTTTGTACAACTGTAATTTCCTAGAAGGGGCTGATTAATTTGGGGTACTACCCTAGTTTGCACTGCTTGCTCTAATTGGTTAAAAGTCGGCCCGGTACTTGAAATGAACCGGAGTTTACAGTTATTAAGAATTTTGGAAATGCCATGACTAGCCGGGTATTTTGTGATTATTAACTCAAGAATTTTTCCTCTAGAATTAGGCTGACGAATGAATGACACAATAATTATTACAAATATCAAGGACGATATTAAAGTCGCCTCTCAACTGTCATGTTTCGTAGGACACCCTGTATTTAAAGAATAACAATTATTGTAATCTATTGTTTTACACGTGAGTTCTGTTAAATTATAATTACTCGTGTGTTTATAAAGCTATAATATAAAGTGATTAATTTTTAATTATTTTAAATGATATAAGTTATACATCCAATTCTGTGCCAGCCAAACAAATTTTCTTTGCTTTTTAAGTTAAAAATGAAAACAAGAGTAGTTACGAGGTTGAATAATTGAACCATGGTAATTTCGCATAGAAAACCGTCTTCTTTATATATGTTTATTTTTCCAGTCCAAGTCAGAAGAAAATATTTTGGTTCTTCTCTTATTCCGCTTGATATCTAGACAAATTATCCATTTTCTATCAAATAAAATCAGTCTGAATGCAGTTTGAGAAAGCCCTGGAATTTCTAGAATAACTTAGATCAAATAATTGAAGAATTTATTGGCCGGAGAGAGGGTTATTTATTTCTAGGTAAAAATACAAGAAACAATTAACGTCAAATAAAAGTAATTACAGAGGTCAAAACTTTAGTATGGAATATCATTATTCTTGAGCTTGATCACGATATTCAGTGTGGACACTTTTTAATCTGAACGGATCAAATTGCTTGATCTCTTAATTAAATGAATAAGGAATGTTTAAATGGAAAGAGTTTGAGTCTACACACAAGATATTTAGGCTGTGACAAGCTAAGTTAACGGGCGCCGGGAGAGAGCTAATTCCGTTCAAAATATTTTCTCATAGATTGAGACAAATCAGTCAAGGAGATTAAGACAAATCAGTCAAGGAGATTAAGACACAAATCAATCAAGGATATTAAGACAAATCAGTCAAGGAGATTAAGACAAATCAGTCAAGGAGATTAAGACAAATCGGGCAAGGAGATTAAGACAAATCAGTCAAGGAGATTAAGACAAATCGGGCAAGGAGATTAAGACAAATCAGTCAAGGAGATTAAGACAAATCAGTCAAGGAGATTAAGACAAATCAGAAGGAGATTAATAGTTTTTAAAGACTGACAAAAAGGGATTATTTCTTTATGAATATAGTTATAGATTAACAATTCTAATCCACTTTAAGCATTTTAAATACAAAACGGCTAAGTCTTTAAATTGGCGTGTTCAGTGTTGTGTGACCGTAAAAAACAAGATTCATATCTTACACAAACTATATTTACATTATAACGATACAAACAATTAGTGTTGGACCAACTAAAGTTGATCTAAATACACACAACATTCGCCTGGGGCGAATATAATTCCATTCAACTCTTCTGATCAGATGTTGTGTGCTAACTGCCAAGTCCTGGGGGACCCTGGGGATAAGATGGCCAACGATCTGGTTTGTTTGCCAATGATCTGCTTTCTTTCAGACAAGATAAATGCTGTTTGACTCCTTTCTGCAGCATCGATCTTACCCTAATTGCTGGAAACATACTCGGAGCTCGATACCCTTTTGGACTGAATCTGGATTGTTTGGCTTAATTCTTAGAATGCATTTGTTAGGCATTATTTCTCCCAACTGGGAGCAATGAACTTATATGATACTATGTACATATGGATAAACATTTACTCCTGATTCTATCATTATCTATCGTACAGGGTGGGTCGATTCTGTTTCTGGATTCAGTGTTTAAAAGGGATTTTTTTTATGCACTTCTTATTTCAAATATTTTTTTGGTCTAAGTAGTTATTTTTATACTAATTTCTAATTTCTTTTGAATATTATTTGCAGAAAGCTATAACAGAATAGAGTTAAGAATTGTTTTTGTTAGTTTTTAAGATAAGGTTTTTTGGGCTGTTTAAAGGATCCACAAAAAAAACATATAAAGAATTCATTACAATATGCAAAATTTTACTCTGTTAGAAGATAAAAGTAATCAAAGAAAAATTATGTTTTAATCATTATGGTTAAAAATTGCGTGCCAGAGGGAAAAAAATCACATCTAAAAAAAATTGCCATATCAATACCTAAAATACTTTTATGTCTACAAGTTTTTTCTATTTTAGAGTTTTTTAAAAAACAATAATAAGGATGTGTATTGTAAATGACCATCAATATCTAAAATATTTTTATGCCTATACAAGTTTTTTTTTATCTCAGAGTTTATATCTCAGAATTATTTTGAAGAGTTTTTATAAAAGTCTCATCTTTTTATTTTGTTTTGAAGTAAATACTTAAAAGAAAGGATTTATTTCCTTTCAAAATATAATTATTTCTTGAAACCCAACAACAAAGCTTCTCATCAGCTAGTCTTCGGATTTACTAAAATAAAAAGATTAAAGGATCTATACAATATATGTATCTACTTAAAATTGACTCTTAATTTATAGAGTGGCTCATCCAATTCACAACGGTACTAAAAGACTTAATGTCTTTTTATCCAAAAAGCTTTAGCTGTGGGTTTTCTGTAAAAGTGACTTCTTTACCACTGGAGAAGCTGAGCTCAGTTACGGAGGCACTCCCAACTTCTTCACCTCAACAGTCC